ACTAGAAGATTGTAATAGATGATGGATTAGATTAGTAAATAGTAGCAGAAAGTAGATCAAAGTAATAGATAAGAGATCAAGGTAGTTGATGATTGTTCAAAGTAGTAGATAGTAGTCGAAAATAGATAAGATTAGTAAATTGTAGTAGACAGGCAGAGAATAACGCAAGTTCTTCCTTTGATCGTGTCCTTATTGCTTTTTCCTTCTTCCAGAATGTTCTCCGCTTCTGGTTGTCCAAGGGCGTTGCTGGTTTTCGCATTGATGCGGTGCCGAGCGTGTTTGAGATAGCGCCCGATGCAGCGGGCCAATATCGCGACGAGCCCCGCAACGAATGGGTCAATGATCCCGATGACTACGGCTATCTGCAGCACATATACACAGTGGATCAGCCGGAGACAGTTGCCATGGTCTACGATTGGCGCGCCGTGCTGGACGAGTTCAAGGAGGGCGACGAGCGCATCTTGTTGGCCGAGACCTATTCACCCATCGATATTGTGATGCAGTACTATGGCAATGCAACGGCCGAGGGTGCTCAGCTGCCGTTCAACTTTCTGCTGATAACCGAAATCTCGAACAATTCCAATGCGAACGACTACGCTCGGACCATACAGAAGTGGCTGCAGCACATGCCGAAGGGTCGCACAGCCAACTGGGTGGTAAGTAAGCGAAGTCCTACTCCCGACTGGGATCTAATGGTGTCTCACTTCCAGCTGGGCAACCACGATCAGTGGCGCGTGGGCTCGCGCCTGGGCTCCGATCGCGTGGACATGCTGAATATGCTGATCACCACATTGCCGGGCGCCAGCGTGACCTATCAGGGCGAGGAGCTGGGCATGACCAATGTGTGGATATCGTGGAAGGACACAGTCGATCCCTCTGCCTGCAATACCAATGCCAGCATCTATGAGCGCTTCTCGCGCGATCCCGAGCGCACGCCCTTCCAGTGGAGCGGCGAGGCCGATGCTGGCTTCAGCAATGCCAGCAAGACCTGGCTGCCCATTGCCGAGGACTACAAATGGGTCAATGTCAAGGAGGAAAGTAAACAGAATTCGAGTCATCTGAATATCTACAAAAATCTGCTGAGACTCAAACGACAAGCGAAAACCTTGCAACAGGGCGAAACGGAGGTGAAGGCTCTGAGTGGTGCGGTTCTGGGTGTCAAGCGGTGAGTCGATTGGGGCTACTACAAAAATACTATTTTATTAATGGGAAATATTTCTTATTCGTAGTTTTCTTCAACATGACTTTGTCTATGTGACGGTGCTGAACATCTTTGATGGCGTTGAAACCGTCAATCTGAATCAAAGCTTCTCTGATTTGACAGCCCAAATGGAAGTTGTTCTGGTTTCCAGAAACTCTGAGCTTAGAGTTGGGTAAGTAAAGACAACCGAGAACGAGTAAGATATTAAATATAATATATATTTTTTTTAAATAAGATTAAAATAGTTCAGTTATCATTCAATAAGAAAACTGATTGTCTTTTATATTAAATTTTAAATACTGTAAAAGCTTTGTCGTATCTAAAACACAATCAAATAGTTTAGTAGTTGAGCACTTTAGCCAAATTATTAAACATAATCGTTATTCAAAAACACTTAGGAGTCTTCAAAGTAGTTAGAATGTAGCTAGTATTACTTTACTTAAATAAGCTGATAGGGAATGCTCATTCTTTCAATTAATTTTTAAACACAAATCCATTTCTAGTTGAGTCACAGAACTCTGTAATTTTTCCATCTGCGTAACTAATTAAGAAAATACTTCAGGAAAGTAATTAAAATGTTAGCTACTTCCGCAATACTCAACTCTATAGGCAAAGTACTTATAGAGAAAAAAAGTTAAATTTATTCAGGTGTTTGGCACTTGTTTAGATTTTTAATATTACACATATTTCGTATATTTATATTTTTTACCTATATTTTAATGACTCATGATACTATAACGTTTTTCCCACTTGTATTTCCGCAGTGATCGTATCAATGCCTCCGCACTGCAGCTGCTACCCAAGGAGTCGCTGGTTCTGCGAACTGTCTCCACTTACTACACGTACTATACGAATGGGGAGCAGCGTCAGCTGCCTGTGCTGGGCATTTACCTGGTGCTGGCTCAAGTGCTGCTCTATCTGAG